GAAAGTGTGAAAGTAAAATTCATGTCCAGAAGTACAAAGTCCAAATTTGTGAATCTAATGAAACGCTTTCGATTCTAAAAAAAATTTTAATTTTTACTGTGTTTCATTTCTATGGTGCAGAACGTATTCAGAGGGTTCTTCGATACGTTTCACGTGTTTGTAAACTGTTGGTAGATAGGTAGGTAGGTAGGTTCCCTCAATGGAGATAAGAATAAAGGTAACGCTACGCACTCGACAGTTTCGGTTTAGTTCGTCTGTAGCTTCTTTTCCATCGAGATATGAGTTCCAAACGAGAATTATCAATTGAAAAACGTTCTCGTATTCTGACCTTCGCAGAAAAAAATATCGATTTTAGTTACTGTTGCAGATACTTGAATAACTTTCATGCAACGCGAATGCATATTTCGCTTATGTCCGGATACTTATGGACGGTAGTGTACGTGTTACTGTTAAAATGTTTTATATAAACGTTCTACAAAATAATATCAACATTAAAAAATTAAAAATCTAGAATTTTCTTCATTTGTATTAAAAAAGAACAATTTTAAGTTTAAAAACCTTTTTTGTCAGAGGTTAATTGTAAGTTTCAATATCTCGAATTCATTAATAATATTTTTTGCGTCAACCCTCACACATATATCTGTTATAAACGTGTCTAATTATAAAAACAATTAAACAAGATTAATACTATTTTTATTACAAGTGTAATAGAGATATCCTCTTAACCAAAGAATTTCCCACTACATTAAAATTGAACTAAGAAATAATGTTATAAGTATCTGTGAATAGCTAAAATTATGGATATTATATCATAATTTACACTCAATCCAATTTTGTTGTAAGGTTGAACCGAAGAGTGCAGTATTTCGCTTAATTAAAATTTTGCTGGTGATAAACGTGATAGGCCGCTGGTGGCACACGTGGCATGGAACGTGTTAAATTTACATTGTCCGTAAATGGAGAGAAAATACACGGTCGTAACGAATAATCCATGAAATTACCGTCACCGTTGTAATTAGATTAACGCGAGATCAAACGTTCCGAACGTTAATTTTATCTCGCTATAATCGCAATTTCTATCCCGTGTTGAGCGACCAGTAAAAATAATATATTCGACGGTCACAAACGTTTCAGTTACACCATTGACTAAAAATATAACAAGACATGCTTTTGTTCTCGTGAGCACATAGATTTGCGTTCGAGGACCCATGGTAAGTCTAGGAAGCTGCAGTATCGATAGCCCTATCTTTTATGCCTTTATCTTTTTCAATACGGTTTGCTGATTTGTCTTCTTTTCCCGCAGGATTTTAGAAAATACTAAATTGCTGGTAGGACATGATTCTAAACGGTTGGCAGCCTTTAAGAGTATCTATTTAATAGTATAAATAGCAATTTAATGTGTTAAAGTGCTGTGTTTGATTTTATACTAAAATAAAGCAGATGGCGCTTGCTGCTTAGCCACAGGTTCAATATCTAATAATAAATACGAAATACTTTTTGTAAAAATGAAATAGTTTTAATTCTTTTCGTATGATGAAATTTTCAACATTTCTAAGCTAAATATTTTATAATTTTCTAGCGACATTGGTGTCAGAATGTTGTTAAGAACCGTGAGAAAGTGCAGGCGCCGTAAAAATTAAGAATCGAATCTTTTAGTGTACGTTTACATCAGGCAAACAGCCAAACAAGTGGCAAAGCAAGAAGCTAGGAGTGAGAGAGAGGCTTGACAGGTTTCCTGGTTACTGGCAAAAGCAGGCAAGTAACTTCCCCACTCTAAACCAGCTTTTGGGCGCTTTCCATCACCTTGTTGTGGTTTCGTTTGAGTAACGATACTTTTTTATAAATTGACGGGAGCAAAGTACAAACGAACGCTAAACTTCGCCTTGGGGCGCCATCTTCTTACTTCTTTTTTGCGGCTATG